ATTGTTAGTTTTCTCGGGGCCTCTTCTGATCATTATTATTTTAGTTAAAACTGGTGACAATTTTGAGTCAGTAATTACAGCGTACAAAAATTGTGGTATAATCTCTGCAATCCTCCCTTTTTCTTAAAAAGAAAAAAAAATGAAAAATCCCATCCCATCCCATCCCATTTGCATTATTGCTCCTCTTGATACCATTCTCAAGTACCAAAAATATCTGACATTGAGTTGCACCAGGTTTGCTCACCCTGCCCCATGGTTAATTTTACCCTTTCTAATGGCTAGCACCGTGATGGCGAACCTATGGCACGCATGCCACAGGTGACACGCAGAGCCCTCTCTGTGGGCACCCGTGCCATCGCCAGCTGCTCTTCGGATTTCTAGCACGCCAGCTGATCTTCACACGCACTGGAGAGCTGGAAACCGGAAGATTAAGTGGCCGGTGCGCAGGGCTCTGGCGCGCATGAAGACCAGCTGGAATGCGCATGCAGGAAACCTGAAGTCTTCTGGTTTCCAGCGCTCTGGGGCGCGCATGTTCCACTTTGGGCACTCGGTGCCAAAAAGGTTTGCCTTCACTGGGCTAGCATGTTATTCCAATAGACCTTTAACTCTCTTGCTTCTTTTCCTCTTTCTCTCTTTTAGCCCTATAAGCTATGCTAGTGTTTAGTTATCTGAGTGTAACTATTTATGAGGATTTACTCATATGTAAGGATCTCTTAGCATATGTAGGCCAACTTTGATGGATTGCTAAATTTGAGGATTCAGCCCCCTAGAATACTTGATGGAAGAATCAGAAAAGCAAGATGGAAAAATTCCACATAAACCACCAGGGAGGTATGGTTGGTGAAATTGAGAGAGTTTGGTGAGATGAACAAACTGATTTCCTAGATTAGAGAAAGAACAATATCTAAAATTATTGGTGAAAGGAAACCTTTTATAGGCTTTTTGCATACAAATGAAAAAAAATGAACTTGTAATTAATGATTTTGAAATTAGACAGGATAGATAAACTATAAAGAAGAGAGTAAAGATGTAATTTTAGATTAAAGTATAATTGTGCATTAAAACTACTATGAAAAATATTGAAAGCCACTGCTTTAAATCTTTCTTTGTATTTTTTCTATTTCCTTCTATTTTTTCTTGTTGTTCTTCCTTTCATTTTTCTTTTTGTTTTCTCTGTTCTATTTTAGGATATATTCTTTTTATTACTCTTAAAATTTTACCATAAATATTATAAAAGGAAAAGTCAGAGAATTGATTATTTTCTCTTTTATTGACTTCCGTATGTGATGGATTACATGCAGTAAACCACATCAGCGATGACTGGATATGATGGGAATAGTGGTCCCATGGGGAAGGCTGGTAGATGGAGCTACTAAGTAATCTTTAGGAACTGCTCATATCTAGGATCTAATTGGCAACAACTTTACTGAATCTTGAGCACAACAGGTTTTTTTTTCCTATTATGTTCCAGGCTTGCAAATCATTTTTGTCACTGGGCTTTTAAACCTTTCTTGTCTCTGCTTTTCAAACACTTTAGACCTATTTATATGCACATAGCCTTATACTGAGGAAAGAATGAATAGAATAGAATAGAATAGAATAGAATAGAATAGAATAGAATAGAATAGAATAGAATTCTTTATTGGCCAAGTGTGATTGGATACACAAGGAATTTGTCAGAGTTGGAAGGGACCTTGGAGGTCTTCTAGTCCAACCCCCTGCTTAGGCAGGAAACCCTACACCACTTCAGACAAATGGTTATTCAACATCTTTAAAACTTCCAGTGTTGGAGCATTCACAACTTCTGGAGGCAAGTTGTTCCACTGATTAATTGTTCTGTCAGGAAATGTATAATGCACCCCTATCTTTTTTTCTTTTCAGCCCAAATGTGAAGGTAAAATGTTCTGTTCTTTTGATTCAGCCATTCAGTCCCAATTACTATTCCACAATTGTCCCACATTTGTGTTAAAATTAGCAGCTCTCTGAGGCAGTTTTTAAATTGCTCAGTTTCATACCTCTTCAGCCCTGTATCTTTTCAGCAAATTTCTAATGCTTTATTCTCCAGTCTTTTGCCCCACTCATAACAGATGGCTGCAGGAGCTTCAGTTCCTCCGTTGACCTGAATTGTATAGTTCTCCCAGTATGATGGCATTTGTTATCTTAGTTTGATTTTCCTGAAGCTCTGCAATTCTATGTGACATACTAAAATATTCTGAAAAAAAGTGACTTGCAGCTGGTCCTTGCAGTTGTAACATCCCCACAGTTACGTGATCAAAATTTGGCTGCTTGGCCACTGGCATGTATGATGGTTGCAGCATCCTGGGGTCATGTGATTTCCATTAGCGACCTCCCTGGTTGCTTCTGACAAGGAAAGTCAATGGGTAAATCCAGATTCACTTAACAACATGATTCACTTAACATCTGCAGTGATTTGCTTACAACCATAGCTAAAACAGTCATAAAATAGGGTGCGACTCACTTAATAATTTTCTTACTTATCAACAAAAATTACAGTCCCAGTTACCAGTATTCACATTTTCTTTCTTTTTTCAGACATGTATTTCTCAATGACCAGCTAAAAAGCAAGTTTTTCTTTCCTGTCTGGCATAAAATCATATTGAACTTCCCAAATTTTGCTCATTGTCATCCCTTGTATCTTTTCAATCATAATTCTGCAAAAAAAAAAAAATCTCCCCCAACCCAACAACAATCAATTTACATTTGCTGTCCTTTCTTATGTACAGGGACAACAATTTTCTAGTCAAGCACAGTAAACAAGTTTCAAAGTCATTCTATAAGCAAACCATTTTCAGATTTTAATGCTTTTTCCAGTGACATTTCTACACCTACCACCTTTCCATTTTTCAACATTCTGACAGCATTCATTTCTTTTTCATCTATTTTTCTTTTGAACATTAATATTTATAGCATTCCCTTCTGTACTACTTTTTGATATCTTTCTCACACATATCTCTGAAGTCGAAGTTCCAGCATTCTCTCACTTCCTGTTTCAACCCAAATAATTATATGATTTTGATCTAAGTTCCCTTCTTCTGCTGGAGGTTGTATAATAATAATAATAATAATAATAATAATAATAATAATAATAATAATAATAATAATAATAATAATAATAATAATAATTTTATTTCTATACCACCCTTCTCCTGAAGGACTCAGGGCAGTGTACAGCCAATTTAAAAACACAAGACAAAACAATGATTAAAAATTAAAATAATTAAATAGATTTGGCCCGGTTTAAAATCCTGAAAATTTAAAATACCCCAATTTAAAATTATTATGTTGATAGCCCGGCCTGGCGGAACAACAGGGTCTTCAGAGCTTAGGTGCCTTCATTCATTTCCAAAAATGTTACACATTTTAATCAAAATCATGTAGCGCTTACTCTTTCATTCTTCCGTTCCTTGTTCTTAATCACATTTTGCAATTCTATTTTTTGCTGCACACCTTTTGTTAATAGCTTTCTCTCAGCATTTTTGTAGCACTTAACGAATTTTTTTCTCATACACATTTCATGTCCTCTTTCCATCAAAGTCCCATTCATCTACCTTCATACACTTCTCTGGCATGTTGTAGCCTGTTTATTTTCTAAGCAGTTTCCACATTCATTTTAATTGCAGTAAAACTAGCCTCATTTCTTAAGAGTTGTTACATAGCGGTGACCAGAAAATGGTATAATTGCTGGGGAAACATTTTCCATCCAAGGCACCTATGTCCGGATTTGCATGCAAACAGAGTGCAAGGATAGATCCAATGACAGCTGGCACTTCTGTGGATATATTCCATGGTTCCCTTCCCAATATAGTCTATAAACTCATTTCTGTCAGATTTCTCTCTCATGCAAAAACTCCACTTTTTCTCAAACTTTTCTCTTTCATTTTTTTCCTCAGCACTTTCTTTCTCACATACCAATACTATATCCTTGATCATCTCCCAGATATACACACCCTATTCTGTCATATATTCACCTTATTCTCTCACTCTCTCGCACATATCTCATTTTTCACTTTCTTTCTTTCTCACACCAACACTCCACAGACACACACACACACCCCTACTGAAATTAGGCTTTGAAACAGTCTAACCATTAAAAGCAGCCTCTTGAAATACAGATGGGAAGGCAATTGTTCAAAAGGGATGCCTTATCACAGAAGGTACAAGCAGGCCATCCATCCGTCCGTCCAATTTCCCAAACCAGAATTAAACTTTAAAACAAGCCTCTGTTCTTACAAACAAGATTTGTGGAAAAAAAACACAGATGGGCTCCCCAGTGTATTTTTTCCCTCTTGATTGCAGCACAATAATTAGTGTTGCAACAGGGTAAAATGGAGTCTTCTCTGATTCACACTTCAATCTTGTTGGCTGTTTCATGTCCATGTAGGTTTTTCTTGGCAATAACATGGAAATGGTTTGTCACCACTTTTTCCACAATGGTTTTCAATTTCCCAATGTTGTTTGGTCTACCATGATGGTCTCCCATTCAAGTACTAATCAGGCCTTCCTTTGAAGCACAAACAAAACTCAGCTAGACATCCTTGTCTGAATTGTGTGTGCAAGCATCTATCTATCTATCTATCTATCTATCTATCTATCTATCTATCTATCTATCTATCTATCTATCTATCATCTCTCTCTCTAATTCTAGATTCTATGTTATCATCATAGGTATATTAGAAATGATAGGATAGATTCAGAGTTGCACACTGTGGGATAACTGATTTTGCTAATTTATCATTCCCATACTTTTCTTCAAATCTGTTCCAGATTCTTAGTGATATGGCAACCTAGAAAACATTTATTGGCTATCCATGATTAATTCTTTAATTTTTTTTTTTTGCTATGTAGCAGTTTTTTTTTCACTTAGTAAGAGTGAAAAAAGAGTTTTTTAGACCAACATTTTCATTTATGGGACAATAATTGTGTTAAGATAAATTGACATGCAAAAAAAAATATAAAATAGTCAAATGAAGTTACCTAGGCAGAATCAACCCATGCTTTTATTTCCATTGCATATAAAAATTTCATATGAAGGTATCTGACATACAGTACTATTCCATAGGCTGTAAGAGAGGCTAAGAAACCATTGAATTATTTGCAATGTTCGCATACTCTGTCACTCTAAAGACATACCCGAAGGAAACAAAACCAACTGAAAACAACGAAAATATTGTTCAGGAATTCTGTTGTAATAGTGTCCCTTTTATATTGTGTAAAACAAAAGCAGTCGTATTCCTTTGGGCCAGGGCTGCTAAAATCTACAGTTTGTGTCAAGGAGGCGGCTGTTTTTCTTGAAAAAGAATCTCTCCTTTCACCGAGCAATCACATGCTACATGGGCTGGGCGCGGGTGCAATGGAGATGAGGTATCTGAACTACGAAGCTTCATGTATAAGAGCAGCAGCGAGACACATTTCAGGCCATTGTTGATTCTGTCTAAAACAAACGGTAGTGTTTCAATGATGTAGAAAAGCTACAGACGTTCTTCTGCACATTCATTCATACAGAAGTAAGCTTTTGGCTGCCTGAAAGCCTTATTGGAGGGGATAGGTCCTGTTTTACAGCGCAATATCAATACAGGTCTAATCTGGAGAGCCACTGTATTAAAGATAATGGGAATAATCTGCCTATATGAATTGCCTTGGTATGGACAGAAAGTGTCTGCCTTGTTTCAGTGGGGCTTAAGAGCAGTAGCTGCCATTGATTTAGTGCTCATTCTTGTTGATTAAGTGTTGGTAGCATTTTTTTTCCTTTACTTTCTCTAAGAAAGGTGAAGAATCCCTCAAGAAATGCTTTGAAGGGGAATGTATATTCCATTAGAGAGAAGGCAAATATCCAAAAGGAGGTCAGATGCCGGCAGGGGCATCCACATGGCGTCTCAAAGAGTCAAGATGGCAGTTTTTAGTTGCACAGTCTCTTGCCATCTTACCCTTAAAAAAAAAAAAACAACCCTTCTCCCCAAAAACTCAGCTTCAGTGGATCCTAGATAGTGGAAAAGAGAACATTCCTAGATGGGACACAACTTAAGTCCCTTTATAAAAAAGCATATTGGAGATACGCCCAGCCCATGTTTGCTACCACCTTTCTTCCAAATGCAGCAAAACAGAAGAAAATTTTGTTTAAAGTTAAGGCACAGCCCTGGGACCAAAGACCTGCAGCTTTTAATTTATATATCTATGTATTTTATCATTTTTCTCAACTCTTCCATAAACAAGCTCTAAAGTGATATAGGATATATTACACGAGGGGGGAAAAATGTACAAGGGGAGTATGTATACACAATATTAATTCTCTCACCAAGAGTTTCCAAATATAGCAACACCATCCTGGCAAGGATGATGTTATAATAAGAACTTATAATTTACAATTAACATTACATTATATACATTACAATAAATACATAGCTGTAAACAGAGACAAACAAGACTTATTACAAGTAAGGTCATTTGGTGAGAAAAAAATATGCATGGCACAAATAAAAAATAAATAAATGCATTGTAAAATAAATGACGAAGTTGTAAAATTCATTTCATTCTCAAGTTTTTTTTTAAAAAAAGCTTTTGAATGTGATTTGTTCTACCTATATTATCTGATCACATTTTTTTTAAAACGATGACATGAAATCAGAAATAAAAAGGAACAGACACATTACCAAGAACAGTAACTTGCAAGCTAAAGTATAAATGCAAACTCATATTCCTCTCACCTTTCCCCCATTTTCCCACCCTCCTTTTCAAAACTGTACCAATGCTTTGCATTTTACTTGTGGCAAACACAGAGAGCACATGTAAAGTCACCTTTTAATATTTTTTTCAGCCATGTGTGTGCTATCACACACTTCAGGCAAAATAAAATAAAAACAAAACAGAAAAGATTGTACAGTGCATTCAAATCCCTGGCTCTAAAAATTATTATGCTTTCTGTCATTTGATTGTCCATGTGTATGGGTGTATTTTTACACAATACACAATACAGTCTCCATTATCTTTGAAAGTTTAATCTTACAGTGTGCACTCTAACAAGATCCAGCAATGAATGAAACCTCCTTGAAATTAGTATTTGGGAAATCTTGTTAAAGAGCAAAGATATTTATGTATTTAACAGTTCTTTCCTCAGAATTTGCTGGCTCAAGCCAGAGAGCACTCCTCTTTATTGATTAAACTATTAGTGCAGAAAAAAAAAATACCCTTCTATGTCCATTTAGATTTTTGGAATTTATATTGCTTTTTTTTTTTCATTAAAATTCCAGGCACTCTTGGGGACTGTACAAATGTCGAAGTAGTGAAGGAGAGGCCATGAATTTATGCTAACAGCAATTTGATGAAATTCTTCCATTCATTTCCCTAGCTGGTATTTTTTTAACAAAAGGCATTAAGAACTAAGAAAGAACCAACACATTAAAACATTTTTCAAAAATCCTCATTAGTCAGTGCTTACCGTAAGAACTTGATATACAAAACAAGTCTTAATTCTAAATAAATGAAGGAATAGTTTCATTGATTACAATGAGACTAAAGCCTTATTAATTTAGGCTCGATCCAATCCAATCCAATCCAATCCAATTTCTGTTTTCATTGCAGCAAAACAAAGACTCATGATTCAAACCCAGTCCAACAAAGTTGCTTCAATACTGGGATTGCAATAACTCTTGTGCAAAGCTTTTGCATACGGCGAGGAGCTGTTTTATGCAAATGTAGGTCAAAGATAAGAGGATCTATGTAGTCAAGGAAATGTACCATGTTGATAAAGCAGCATGAATATGTGCCTACTAATGCAATCTGGCAAGAGAAAGGCAGTACAGGTCAGGTGAGGATGGCCCATTTCAATCCTCACAGACATCAATCTGCATTAATGTCTGCTACTGTGCATAGATTTCCTACACATAATTATAGCTGTATGCTACAGCTACAGCCAAATTTAAAATTAGATACGCAAATCCCATTTTAATTAACAGCCATAATGGCATGTAATTCTACAATGGATGGCAGTCTACACTTTGCTCTGCAATGCTTTTTTTCCCCCTCACACAACCTGTCAGTTTTGTAGGGTAGTGCACTTCCCACAACAGCACAAACCCTTTCAAAAAGTTTTTGATGTAACAAAAAAAAATCCCTTAGAAACAACCTGTTTGCAGAAATACAATCTGAAGTACTGTGCAATGACAGTTGCCCGCATGCCCCCAACCAAAGTACTTATTTGTTGGTCTAGTAAGTCATTGGGGCAAAAGATTCCTACAATGCTATTGTTCACTCCAACAAACTGTCTCATGGAAAAGGAAATATTCAGTTAGCAAATAAAACATTTGTATATATAATAGGAAAGTCACACTTATACTGGCCATAGATCTGAAAACCTCAGATCCAAATTTATTCATACTGATGAGTTTCCAATAATTTTGTTTTAGAGCATTCTCAAGTTTCCATGCACTATTACTTGTCATTCATTTCAACTTTCTGAACCCCAATGCATCTACTATAGGAAGATTGAATCCTAATGGTCCAAATTCCTGCCACCCCTCAGTTGTTGCAACCCAAATGTTGGGGAACTGCTACTCTAGTGTTCCACTAGATTTAAAAAATAATTGTTTTGGTTGAGGGGAATTAACCCACAACCATAAACGTTGGATCTGCAGGACTAAGCTATTTGTGAGGCCAAAGAGCTCATAGCAGATAATATATTGCTGCTTTTGGACATTTATATATATAAAAAAAAAGACAGAAAACGAAGTGTTTTCCTACAATAAGAGACTGGGTAAGTGGGTGGGTGAGAGAGAATTAACAGAGCATCATATACGTATCATTGGTCTATAAAACAAAAGGCTATTTTATAACAGTTGAAGGAATTGCTATGAAAAATCTAAGTGCAAACAAATATAAAATTCAATTTATCCAGTGTAGCATATACATGTACTGAAAACTTGCAAGTTACTCTTTTTTGGGGATAGGAGAAGAGGGAGGAAGAAAAAGCCACTGGCAGATGAAATTCAGAGGGTGTTGCATTTTTTTAAATATAATAACCCAACACATTTAATAATAAAAGTAAACTCTACAAAAAGATTTCTGTTTTACATATGATACAAAATGCAGACTTCAGTGCAACCATTGAGCTACACCTTTTTCAGTCATGTGTCAGGAAGACTTGAAATTAGAAAAGTATGTGATTTCCACAGCTTCATCTTCCTACTGATTCATGTTGTATCCCGATATTTGAGTGCATTTATTTTCCACTAGACAACTTGATTCATTTGCTGGTCACTTTCTTTAGATTCTGGTGTTAATCATTAAACGTATGGTATTAATTGCCTCCTCATGAAATTAAAACCTAATACAAAACACACATATAATCTCACACACACACACTCACATTAGCTTTGGACCAGCCTTTACTCCTTTTGAAAAACAGCTGTGAGTGCTGTCAGTCTCTCATCAAATCAGCCAAGCTGAACTCTTAATTCAACTGTTCTTTGCAGATGTTTTCCTTCATTCTCTGGTGCCATGGAGATGAATAATTCTGGTCACACTAATCCTGAGTGCCGAACTAAGTTTTTGATCAACAAACAACTCTGGCAGATGACGGCGAGGCATGATCATGGTTGTGCCATATGATATGCACTTTGGAAACCATTTTCAGCTTTTAAAAACAGAAAAGGAGAGAGTATAGAGAGCTATGCACTTAGCATACTGTTACGTGTCAGGAGACCGTTCTTCTAGCACACAAGGTTCTGACTGATTCTCCTCTTCTTCCTCCTCTACCACCTCTTCTCCCACTTGCTCATCAAGTGGAATTTCTGTGGACTCTGAGTCTTGGGTGCAAAGAGTCTTGGAGTCACTGCAGCTGGTATCTTCTTCCACTTGACTCCCACTGTCCTTCTCTGTGTCTGATTCACCATCTTCTTCCAATGTTAGTTCAAACTGAAATTTTTCAGTTTGTCCTTGTCTACCTTCCTCTTGGTCATCCGCTGCAGGAGAAGGACTCTGAGGGATTGTGCTCTGGTACCATTCACGATTGTCCTCCAATGTATCTAAGATGTCTTGGGCATCTGGGTGGACAAGGTCCGCCCAGGTCTCCCAGAGAGGGTGAACAATGTAGTCTATAAAACCCACCTGTTACAAAGTAGAATTAAGGGGAGATGTTATTCTAAAGAAGGAAGAATTAAGTTTATCACATTATTTCTTAAAATTAACTTCACAAGAAGCTATTGTTTTTTATTTAGTTCTCTTCTGTATTATTTTTCTTTTTAAATGAAAACTTCAAATTAATTTTTCATTATTTTGTAGGCTTTAGTATTGTATCAACCATTTGTGTAAAGATGATCTTGGGGAAAATAAACAAGAACCATGTTACAAGCAAAGAAATATTCCTTAAATCATGGGAAACGAGATAGCATTGGGAACAAACTCAGGCAGACTCCTCTCTGATTCATCAAGATATAAGAGGGAGAGGAGATGAAGTCCAATCAGTCTTCCAAGATTCTATTAGTATAGCCGTTTCAATGTAACATAGTTCTTGTCTTCCTGTAGAATCAGTTTCCTGATCTGAGCTATGCTGAATGTCTGATACCAATCAACAGTTATTGCCTATTTCCTTGAAGAGCTTACAGAATTCTCTAAATCAGGGCTGTCAAACTCGCGGCCCGCAGGCTGGATGCATCACACGCTGGCCATGCCCATGCCCAATTTAGCGAAGGGGGGAAAAAGTCCCGATATGTCACGTGATGCCGCCGTGACATGAGTTTGACACCTCTGCTCTAAATTATCTACATTGATTTTTCATCCTTCAATTAAATGATTACCTGTGATTTTTCTACAGATGCATTGTGTTTATCACACATGGGACTTATTTCCATGCCTCTTTCTCTTTCTCGATCTCCCTGACGAAAGAATTCTTCCATTATTCTATCTGTCCATTGTCGATATAACTGGAGTGGCTTTGTTGGATTGCTTAGATCTGCACAGTGTACCATATTTTGTAGAACCTAAATTAAACAGGAAAAAAATATTGAGAAAACTTGTGTTATGCTACTGGAGACACAGCTCTTTTTCCATTTGCACATTTAGTGGGTGAGAAAACAGAAATCTTGAAAATACATGGAGTGCAAGGTTTATTCTGAACACCAGCAGGATGATATGCTGTGCGTTTTTCACACTGACATTAATAGCTACCAATTATCTCACATTTATTGCTTTGCCTATATTAAAAGGCCAAAAATGCTGTAAGTGCAAGACTGACCAGTTATGAAGCTATGTGGGAATTAATCAAGCCTGTTAGCCACCCTCAAGAGCAGGAAAAAACTTCAGACACTGACAGAATAGTCTAAATTAGGTCTGGCCTGCAGGCTGCATGAGCATTTGAATGAAATTTTGAAAGCCAAACTGCAGAGGTGGGTACCACTTCATATGGTTTGATCCTGTTGCTCCCAAGGACGTGGACAGGATACTGGGGTGACTGAATGCGACCACATGTTTATTGGATCCGTGTCCCTCCTGGCTGGTACTGGCCTCCCGGGAGGTTACGCGAGGCTGGCTCCAGGGTATTATCAACGCTTCCTTGGGTGAGGGTGTCTTGCCATCAGCCTTGAAAGAGGCGGTGGTGAGGCCCCTCCTCAAGAAGCCCGCTCTGGATCCGTCTGTTTTGGCTAACTATCGTCTGGTCTCCAACCTTCCCTTCGTGGCGAAGGTTGTTGAGAGTGTGGTGGCACGACAGCTGCCTGGGTACCTGGATGAAGCTGTCTATCTGGATCCATGCCAGTCCGGCTTCAGGCCTGGGCACAGCACGGAAACGGCATTGGTCGCGTTGGTGGATGATCTCTGGAGGGCTCGGGATAGGGGTTGCTCCTCTATCCTGGTCCTATTAGATCTCTCAGTGGCTTTTGATACCATCGACCATGGTATCATGCTGTGCCGGTTGGAGGGGCTGGGAGTGGGGGGCACCATTCTACGGTGGTTCTCCTATCTCTCCGACCGGACGCAGTCAGTGTTGGCAGGGGACAGAGGTCGACCCCGAGGCACTTTGTGTGTGGGGTGCCGCAGGGATCGGTCCTCTCACCCCTTCTGTTCAACATTTATGTGAAGCCACTGGGCGAGATCATCCGTGGCTTTGGGGTGGAATTCCATCAGTACGCTGAGGACACTCAGCTGTACATCTCCACCCCAGGCCATCCCAACGATGCCCTTGAAGTGATGTCCTGGTGCTTGGAGGCCATGCAGATCTGGATGGGGAGTAACAGGCTTCGACGCAACCCCTCCAAGACCGAGTGGCTGTGGCTTCCGGCGTCCCGATATAGCCAGCTGGCACCATCACTGCTATTGGGGGCGAGTTATTGGCCCCCACGGAGAGGGTTCACAACTTGGGTGTCCTCCTGGATGCACAGCTGTCTTTAGAAGAGCATATGACGGCCGTGGCCAGGGGGGCTTTTCATCAGGTTCGCCTGATTCGCCAGTTGCGTCCCTTTCTGGATCGGGGCTCCTTACGCACAGTCACTCAGGCACTCATCACTTCCCACCTGGACTACTGCATGGTCTCTACATGGGGCTCCCCTTGACGTGCATCCGGAGGCTCCAGCTGGTGCAGAATGCGGCTGCGCGGGGGATTATGGGAGCGAGAGGCCGCTCCCATGTGACACCTCTCCTGCGTGAGCTGCATTGGCTCCCGGTGGACTTCCGGGTGCGCTTCAAGGTACTGGTCACCACCTTTAAAGCACTCCATGGCATCGGACCTGGGTATTTGCAGGACCGCCTTCTGCCGCCAATAGCCTCCCACCGGCCAGTACGCTCCCACAGAGAGGGACTCCTCAGGGTGCCGTCAGCTAGGCAGTGTCGGCTGGCGACCCCCAGGGGGAGGGCCTTCTCTGTGGCAGCCCTCTGGAACGATTTGACCCCGGAGATACGGAGGATATCAGATCTCCGGGCTTTTCGCCCCGCCCTAAAAACTTTTCTCTTCCATCAAGCAGGGCTGGCGTGAAACCCCCCCCCTGTTTTTGAGATATTAGATTTTTAATTGTTTAATGGGTTTTAGTCATAAGGTTCTTAATTTTTGGCCAAAGGGTATAATTCTTTTAAATTTTTAAATTTTGTATTGGCTGTGCACCGCCCTGAGTCCAACAGGAGAAGGGCGGTATACAAATTTAAATAAAATAAATAAATAAATAAATATGGAAATGTTAAAAATGATTTAAGAATGAAGATTAATTTTAAAATTTTGATAACATGCATGCACATTTAAAGTAATTCCAACCCTTCACTGCTAAGTAGAACTTTGTAGGTTAAGAAATTTTTCAGCTAATCATCCAACCAACTAGCCAACCACAGCAACGGATTGAAAGTTCAGACACTCCTACTTGTGTATATACCCATTAGTGTAATGATAGTGTTGACATCTGGGCAACAAAATAGAGTGGGGACATAATGGATTGCACCTAATCTCTTGACAGTTTATATGCAGGCTCTGAAAAAAATACATTTCTGTTCCTCTACTAATAGATACTCATGCCCTTGTCACCTCACAGTTAGATTATTGCAACACGCTCTACCCTTGAAAAGTATTCGGAGACTACAGTTGGTCTAGAACGCAGCTGCGTGAGCTGTCGTGGGTGCACCTCACATTACACCAATTCTCCGCAAGCTGCACTAGCTCCCTATTGGTCCCCGGTCACAATTCAAGGTGTTGGTTATTACTTTTAAAGCCCTACATGGCTCAGGGCCAGGGTATCTTCAAGACCGCCTTCTACCGGATAACTCTCAAGAACCGGTAAGATCTCATAGAGTTGGTCTCCTCCGGGTCCTGTCAGCTAAACAATGCCGGCTGGCGGGCCCGCAGGGGAGGGCTTTCTCTGTGGCTGCCCCAGTTCTCTGGAACCAGTTACCTCCTGAGGTCCTGACCATCCCCACCCTATTGGCCTTCCGAAAAGCGGTGAAGACCTGGCTTTTCTGGCAGGCCTGGGGCCGTTGAACTCGCTCTTGCGATCCGGCAAGATCCAGCCATGAATGGTGTGAATGAGTTTTAATGTTTTTAATTTTTAAATGATTTTAATAATGATTTTAAATGCATTGTGAGCCACCCTGAGTCTTCGGAGAGGGGCGGCATACAAATTGAATGAATGAATGAATGAATGAATGAATGAATGAATAAATAAATAAATAAATAAATAAATAAATAAATAATAGGTATGGGTATGCAGGTGGTCTGCACTGCTTTACTTGTAACAGCATTTCTGCAAGCTGAAAAAGCTGTGGTTAGCAGAACAAACTGATTAGTCAATGTAGATTAGCATCACTAAATGAAGTCAAGGAAAGGTGAAATACCGCTGTAAGATGAGGCACCTCATCAAGGAAGAATGCCGTACAAGCAACCATAACAGGGAAAATGTTCTGGCAAAAGGTACGGCTGTCAGTCCAAAAAGTCAAGACACACAGATCATCCCAATGTAATGAGGTGAAGAAAGAAGATAATTTATTTAAAATGCAGAGTACCTTACCTGAATCCTGTCTGAATAGTTATCAAGAAGTAGAACTCCAGAGCTAGTCACTTTCTTGGTTTCAACCATTGTTTTCAAATCGGCCAATAGATTCATATGCTTAGACATGTCTGTGGCAAGTACCTTGGAGGAGAAACAAAAGGTAAAGGTCACAGTAATTGCTTCTGTTTTAAAAGCTATTACAGCTTGGTAAGGAAATTAAAGAGACAGTCAGTGAAAATATCCTAATCAATAGATAGATCTTATGGAAACATAACTTGCATAAATCAAATATAAGACCTATTTCAAACTATCCCCCCCCCCAAAAAAAATTATCAGGTACATCATTTTGCATCTGAGCTATAAGGTTGACTCAGCCTTCCATCCTTCCGAGGTCGGTAAAATGAGGACCCAGATTGCGGGGGAGGGGGGGGAATATGCTTACTATATAAAACCCCTTAGAGAGGGCTATAAGTGCTATTGCTTTAAATAAAAACAACTCACAATGTCAATGACCATCTTCCTCAATGATTGCTTCTGTTTTTTTGTCAAGTTCTGGAAAATGTCACAATTCTCCTCCTGCAATAATTTGAAGCCAACAGCTAGATGATGGTTTTCTAAAACTGATGAATCATTATACATCAAGGCAAGTTCAGAGTCTGCAAGAAAGTCCAAAGACAGCACGGTTAATAAAAATTGCATTTTTGTTTATTTGTTATAGAAGTTATATTTTTGGGTCTTAACATCTTTGGATGTTATGGCATCCAAAACATCCAACTACATTAGAGGGGGGAAAAAGCACCATTATGGCTAATTGCAAATCAAATCTGACAACAGACTTTCCTCCAATTCCATTTCTCTGTCCAGTTTTTAGAAATAGTTTGAAAATTACAAGGGCAACAAAATAAGAGCAAATTGGGGCTGATCATGAACAAATGTTTCAGCAAAAGCTTCCAGTCTATAGCACAAATGCTCAATAATTTTGTAATCAAATAATGGAATTTTCCCAAAGACTTGGAGGCATGCCTATCAATGGCAAATGGAATATCATCCCTCCCTCTGCATTATATGATTCCTTAATCATATGCCAGTTGTTGGTTGACTTGAATGTAGCTGAATATTAACATTCTGGTAACATGTCTATGGAGATTCTCAGTCATCCAGGTCATGGTTCTCCCAAAGGTGCTTCTCCAAGAGGCAACTGGACTTCCTGGTTTTTTCTTTGAAGAAGTTTTGCTTCTCATCCAAGAAGTTTCTTCAGCTCTGACTGGAGGGTGGAGAATGGAAGGATTTATATTCCTTGCAAATAGCTGGTCATTTGCATTTGCAATTTGCGAATAGGCCGCGGCCCAATAGTGGGCCATAGCCCACAGGATGGGGACCCTTATTTTAGATAATAATATTTGTGATTGATGTGCTATTCTTTAAGAATACTGGTTTACATTTCTTTTTCCTTGGTGGACATACATTTTCCTTAGTGACATACAGCTTACCATGCTGGATTACTGGTTTCTCCAAATAAATCAGCACATTCTCCATGATTTGTCCTTCTGCTTTATATATAACGAGAAGAAAGCATGACTGCATTGGGAACTGTGTACACTGAAGAGAGACAACTTCTGTTCCTTCTGATAAATTGACTACAATTCTTGGAATCGTGACAATGTCCCTTTTGAATACACCAAAGTTTCTTTTGCTACAGTGAGATTCCTGTGGACTCCTTCCATTATTGTATGCATTCCTTTTGCGAAGCTTTAAAAGATCCAACTTCCTCATTAAAATGTTCTTCTTCTTGTGCCATATCCGTCATCGGACATTGGCGATCATGTTGGCGATCCTATTTTTATCAACCTCATTAAAATGATCTTCAATTCCAGTTTATGTGATAGCAATCCAGAAAGTTCACTTGAATCAAGGAGTTTTGTGGGAAACTGAGCAGCATTAGCTGTGTAATAGAATGTGCATATGAAGAAACATTTTTGGGAGAGTTTTGATGACATAGACCTTTCCCAGAAAGAGGCCCAGAGGAAGAGTCTGTGCAGTCCTGAGATGGATGGGGGAGGAGAAAAGAAGTCCAGGGTAGAATCTGTTCTCCCCCTCCAGCTCGGTAGTTATATAATGGTGGATCTCCCCTTGAATAATCACAGGATTCTACCCATTCCTCATTGAAATGACTTTTTTGGCACCAAAGAGTGTCATTTGGAAGAGGCAGTTGTATTATCTGATGTTCTTCCTGAACCTGTTTGCAATAGGTTCACCATTGCTATATAAAATGAGAAGTTCATTAGGCAGAGGTTGCAAATTGCCTATCCTGACTCTTCCCTTCATATTGCAGAAACTGGTGGTTTTTCCAGGAAATAGGAATTTATGACAGTGAGAGTAGACTTTGGCCATGGTACCAGCATCAGTAGAAATGTTACATTGTGCAAGTTGTGCATTTTAACTTGCTCTTCTTTCTCTGCTGAAATGTTGATGTTGAAGGCAGTTGTAGTCATACTGAGGGACTCCTGCAGTAATTAGTGTTTGCCACACATTCGAAGTTGATCTTTGTTTTTCTCCTCAATCTTTTCTTGTCTCTTCATTCTGTAATTTTCCTTGTGGCTCTGCAGAAATACAGCCCTTTCATTCTCTGTTTCTTTATCTCTTGCACCCCTTGCCACATCACAGTGATGTTTGGTCTCTTCACCATGATGTTCCCCTTCTATTTCCAACTTGCATAATTATGTTGATGAGATTCATTTATTTTACAATATTGTACATTGCCATTGTTACCTCAGAACAGTTTGAAAATAGGATCATGTGACCTCCTGAAGGTTAGGGCATGATTGATCTACCTGATCTCCAGTGGCCAAAGGAGGGACCAGGCTACACTCAGCTTCATAGTAAGAAGCAATTGTAAATAGGATGGGCAAGGACTGAGGTACATAGTAGCTAATGTATTTGTGTAACACCAGAGAGAGCCAATTTCTACTCCACATGCAGGCATAGCAGCTCACTTGATGACTTTCTCACCTACTTCACGAGTTTGTGAAAAAATATAGGAGAATGGACCACTATGAATATACATACATAGTGGTCCATTCTCCTGAATGGAATATAGATGCATGTGCATGTTGTGTGCCTCTGCAGGGGCAATAAAGCAATAAAAATATCCAGGTGCATTGACCTAGAGGAATAAGTAGCATTCAGGGACCTCCAACAATCTATCAGAAGAAAGCTGCCTTAGATTTCCCAGTTGCGTGAAACCCATAGACAAGTAAGAATGGAAAGACCTTGACTATCCAACTGGCTGAGTGAACAGGAAAACCCATTCCTCAATTTCCCATTGTGACAAAGGGACACTGGACTAGAAATATGCTTTTAAAGACTGACTACATGATGTATGCAGATACCTTACATATCAAAAATCATCTTTTTTTTAAATAAAAAAATCTTCTTCGTTACTTGTTCAAGGAATCTCAAATATATAGACAATCAGTGGAGCCAGAAATAAACTAACTTACTTGTGTTGATAAGAAATTGGTTTGAAACCCCAGGATGGTCAACATCATGTATTGCACTGGCAAAAATAGCAGCTAGAATCTCCAGGTCTGTGAAAACGGCCTAAAAGAAAGAAAGAAAGAGAAAATATTTAGGAATAAGATAGTGGAACAGAGAAGAATGACTAATGGAGAATATGTTCTAAGTTTAACAGAATTGCACTGATCCTCTCCCCTTTTACACTTGGATCTCTACTAATATGAACACCACCATGTCCATATTAAAAAATTGGAAAGTCCAATTTACAAAATGTTTTTTATAATAAAGTATCAAATGTTGATATCTTTAAATTAAAGTTATTTTCTCAGTAACTAATCATTTGGCAAGCTACCTTGGTGTATTGCGAGACATGAAAGTATGTTTCACAAGTATGTTTTTTTTAATTTCACCCAGATATTGTGGACTTACCTCCAAAGCTGGGGTTGACAAAAGCACATGTGTTGATTGTACAACATCAGCAGCATGTATATTGTTGTGATATGCCACATCTGCATGATAATGGTCCTCCAGCGTCATCAAGTAGGTTATTAACATGTCTGGTGGAATTTTAAACGTTTTTAGCAAATCCCGTTCCTGAAGTTAGAGAGAGAAAAGTAATTATTTATTCAGTATAGGTAAAGGCCTCTGGAAAAGAAAAGGGAAAAAGTTGTTTCCCCTTAAACATACCTGAAAGATTGTATACATGACGACTGTCAAAGGTCGGTTCCCAGATAATTCGGCTATTTTAAACACTTGGAGGCCCCATTTATTTACATCTTCTAGCTCCTGATATAAAACCAAACAAAAAACAGAAACTGTTAACCTGGCTTTGCAATAGAGTTTGCACAAAACATCTGTTCTTGACTTTCTTTGTATTTTAGATCTTAGCAATCTAATTTTTCAGATTTTAAATTAGAAATGTTGCTCCAAACTGAATGCCCTGAAATGCTTCAGTACTGCCCTGCTCTGATATAGCAAAGAGCATTAGGAAATACTCCAGGGACACCACCTTACTCTATCTTATGCTTTGGGAATACACATTTAAGTTTCAAAATAATCAAAATAAATATATTTTTCCTGCAAATACATATATATATATATATATATATAGGCTTCATTCTTCTGGTGTAAACATGGCATCTGAATTTTTGTTAAATTCTATAGGTGTTTTTTTTTATTTTTTTAAAAATCCATTTGACTTCTGCAGTTACACAATTCTGATGCACAATGTGCTAGTGACAAATTGAATCAGAATCTTTATTTGGCTGTACAGTGCTCACACACTGTACAAAAGTACAGTGTGTGAGAATTTATACACATGACAAATAAATTCATATAGATATACGAATATCTATAATTGTGACTGTATTTGGATCTGAGTTACAGATACTGAAGCAGCTGCAAATCAACATTGCTTTTACCTTGGCTAGAATATCTTCTTGATCTGTTTTGACTCCAAATTTGGGGATACTAGAATTTGTTAAGCTGGAACTGTGCATCAACTTTTTTACTCCACTGATTTGAGACATAGGCCGTTTCTTTTTCTCTTTTTCTTTCTGTGTTGGAGATGGGATTTCCACTTCATGCTGCTTGTCTTTTAAAAAAGAGGAAAAAAAACATCTATAATCTATTTGTAAATTAGAGTTAAGAAGAAACATTAGGTGCAGCATAGCTTTTCAAAAAAACCTGTGCTTCAAAACCATTTTGAAATAAGAAAGATGCAAATGAACACAGAAAATCACCACCAGACTATTATAGTTATAGTTATAGTTATAGTTAGTTATAGTTTATTATATTTATATACCGCCCTTCTCCCGAGGGACTCGGGGCAGTGAACAGCCAGCAAATAAAATACACAGATACAAAATTTAAAACAATATTAAAATCCAATTAAATCAATTTGGCCCATAGTTAAAAACCCTATATTAAAACCCCTAATTTTTTAAAACATTTTTTAAAACATATTAACTTGTTCTTTTTCTAATTCTGCCTTAGCTATGAAAAACAGCTAAGTGGTAATCTTGGGCCAGTCACTCTCTTTTTCAGCCCAACTCACCTCACAAGGTGGTTGTTGTGGGAACAATAGGAGGAGGAAGCCATATTGGACATGTTTGCCCTCATGAGTTATTTGCAAAAAATAACAAAGGTGGCATACAAGTGAATAAATAAATAACTGCATGAAAATCTAGGTTCAGGACCACTTTAGTTATAGATTTAAGCAACCTTACACTGGTCATTTACTCTCGCAGTAGTGCAGCGACATTGACTTTACATATAGCTAAAAAATCTAATGATGTTGATATAAAACAGCTTGAATATTGTAAACTAAAAAGTGAAACAAGGAGCCATTAGGTTCTTGGGTCCAAATAATTTCTTTTCAGTTCTGATTCTTAGGAATTTGTTTATATTATGTTATGCTTCCCTAAATCTTGAAGTTATTCTATTATTGTAGTTTGAGTAGAGATCTGACCTCAGTATCTCCCATGTCTCAAATCTATCCCATCACAAGATTGTCTCTAAAGTGCAGTGATAATTATAAGTTGATGAATAAGGTAGTTATTTTTACAAATATTAATTCAAGAATATTTGGCTCACAGTCCAATTTATCTCGCAAATCACAGATTTTCAATATCTGTCAACAGATGCTTCTCTTTTTGCTGCTAGTTTGGGAACACTGCTGAAAATGAGGCAAAGTAAACCAATTTTGTGCCACTGCATTGAGCATAACTAGGACAAGATTTACTCTAATTACGTTGTCAAAAATAGGAAATAATAGGTGATTGAGCATAAAAAGCTGGCATATGTTTTATGAATGAACAAATGAAAATAAATACTAAAGGTGCTACAATATCATATTTATTTAAAAGGCAAAGTTCAATAACCTCAAAAACTGTATCTAGCTGGAATAATTCTAATTGTTGCTATGATCATGCTGCAAGAAAGATCACAATCATTGTCCTGTTTTCAACTAACTAATTTGTTTAATCGAAACCTGGTTTAAACTATAGTCTGTTTAAGCAAGCCAAATTCAAACCTGTTCCTCAACTTGATTTATTCTCTCCTCCCCAAACATTTAAATATATTGTAGTTTCTGTCCAAATAATTAATAGCAATTAGCTGTAAAAAGTAGAGGATGTTTTAGATAGCCTTCCTTTTGAGCAGATATAATGCACACATTCAAGCATTAGCTTCAAACAAGGCAATGTGAGTAATGCTTATTAACTCCCTGTGAGTTAATGAGCTCATCCTAGGTTGATCCCAGGTGAACAAAGGCATTCTCGATGTTGTCAAATCTGTAAAACAATGTGAAGAAATACTATTTTTATTTGGCGATTATTTTTTCTCCCTTTCCTCAAAATTAATGCTAACAAGAAAAAAAAAGATGATGCATGTACAAAATATTTAAGAACTGCATACATATTTCAATTTAGAAATGGGGGAAAATCTATTGCTACATGTATTGGAACAGATCTTTTCTTTAATCCTTTAGATTAGGCTAGCATTTACTGGAAAAAGCAGAAAATTCTGATCCGATTGCTACAGACAAGTGAAAATGTCACCAATTTTCAGCCAGAGGCAACCAGCCTTCTCCTACTCCTTTACTGATCACCAATTAAAACAAATCAGAGGGGGGAAAAAGGATTTGAACTGGCACAAACCAACAACAGCTGAAAAATAATGACTCATATGTATGCTTTGATGTTTATAACTTCAGTCATATGAACAAAGTTTAGTACCATCAGAAGAAAGGGCTCTAAAGCAAGATGACAGATGCATTCAAGTGAAAGGAAATATTAGAGAGGTCATGGAATTCCAAGGGATTTCCTAGAGTTTCATTCAAAGTAAGCAAATCTTACGAATGAAGGCAAATATATGTCCCCCAGAATAATATTGCAGGATCCAAACTGGGTCAGTCACCGGGACCAGAGGTTTTGCCTTCTGAGTTTTCAGACTCATGATGAAGCCCATCTTCAGGGAACTTCTCTCTAGCAGAATGTGTGCTGTTTTCTATCTAATCCTTTGGATAATGAAAGGCCTGAATTTTCAAAACATTTGTTTCATTTTGAATCTGACTCACAAGAAAGAGAAACTTACAGCATCAATAGGACAACTTCTAGTCAATGCTGTCATCTCCATCATGCATTATTCTCCATCACGTATTGTTGGTTGGCCTACATATTTTGGCAACAAATTATTGCCTGGAACTATTGAGATTGAACTGAGAAGTGGCAACATTGGCAATAGTGCACAACTTGATAAACCTCTTGTGCCAATGCTCATGCCCTAGAATGGATTAACTGTTTTTATATTCCTTTGCATAACCCAATAACGTCATGGATGTTGTATTATATAATTGTGATGAAGGCCATCATTAGTTCATTGTGTGAATAATCCTAGTCTGTTTATTGCATCCTGGATACTTCTGCTTCATTTTGTTACCAATCTACAAATACTTATCACTGAATATTTTACTGCTTAATAATTGATTGTTTCCAATAATTTTTACTAATGAAAAGCAACCCTACTTTCTTTTACTAATGAAAAGCAAAGTACAGAAAACAATTTCCATCAATTTACTTATCTATTATTTGGTAAGTTCCCCAGCCACTTACTGACTGATGAGGGATTTTTCAGAAATTATCATATAGAATATGGCAGAGGGAACTGAGAAATGCAAATGATCTTTTTTAGCTTCTGTGTTCTATTTCTCCCAGGCAGTCATCTCGTCTTCCCTCCTTCTCACCTCCAACACTTCTGTTTGATTGTCAACTGATGATGGGAGAAGGCCAAGGAAGGAGGGGGAGAAGGGGCACAAGTGCTCGATTGTCAGCCGAGTCTGTCCTACTGCACATTTTCTTTTTTTAAAAAATCATACTAGGCAATAAAAATACATACAAATAAAACTTTACATTATTCCTCTATTTTCCAAATTCCACTTCAATTTTTCCTTAGCTAAATGTATATTTCAAATAGCAAACAATTTGAATATGGACTCTGCTTTATTATTCATCTTTAAGTCCGCACAGCAGTAAAGTTAGAATATTTAGTCTGCAAATCAAAGAACCAATATAATTGCTATGAGGCAGAACCTTGCATGCAGCTGATTTTGTTTGCTGTTGATGCTGCACAAACAGAAGTCAAACTTAATAAATTCTTTGGCTGTATACTTTGCTAAAGAACTTAGGTGAGCCTCATCTTGTTTTATTTCTGCCAAGAACATTCTGAACCAACACATGTTCAGAATCATACCCAGATGGCTCATGAGTGCACAGGGAATTAGTGAATTATAGTTGCTGCTTGTTACCAAAATTGTTTTTTTTAATGTTGATGTTGCTAAGGTTATGTTAAACACAAAAGCCCTCCATCTCAAAATGAACCATCAGCTAGAAAACTCTGATAAACAATATGAAAAATGTTATTTGACTAAACAGCACAAATCTATATCAGAAATATATTCTTGATAGGCAGATATCTTTGCTGATTGGATCGAATTAGAATATTTAGACAGACATTTAGAATATTTACATCATTCATAGAATCACTTCAGATCTTTCTATCACAGCATATCCATATATCATTTCCTAAATTGTCTTTTTTTTCTCCTTTAAACATTTCACTTCTCTCTCTTTAAGGGTCTCTCCAACTCCTTTCAATCATGGCTTTTCCAGTCTTCATCTTACCATCTGTTCACTTTTTCTTCATTTGTTTTGTGAGTCTATCCTCACACATTCTCTCAGTATTGCCAATTCATCTTAATATACTTCATTGTATGTTCACGCACTTTTGTACTCAATCTTCATTTCAATATCCATTTATTTTTCATATCTTATTAATTTACTAAGTATATAGTTTGTAGGTATCTTGTTTCCATTACATTTATTTTTATGAAATACTGCACTCTTACTTTCCAATAGTAAAATGACGTATGTACAGCCATTTTTGCTTTATTCAAGAAATAGCCATTCCTCATAAAAGACTACCTTATTCCCACTATCTTTCCACGTCTTAACATTTCTCTATCCAGATTTATAAAAGCACTTCAGCTTGTCTTAAATGCAGATATTTTAACCTCGCCACACTTATTTATTTTCTATCAATGCACTAAATAATGATTTTGCACCATCAAATGGTGCTGACTTTTAGCAACCAGATAGATTTCTTCCATGAGAATCTGTCCCTAACCTGATCTTTCTAACAGTGTGTCAATTGCCAGTGCAACTGTGTCTGCCCAACTTGCTGCTGGTCATCCTCTTCCTGTTTTTCTTTCCACCTTTCCCAGCATTTGCAGTTGGCTGCTATGGTGCTGTCAGGCATGCATGTGCTACAAGAATGTGGTTGAGCATGTGCCCTGTGGGCAGGTGCTATGGAGTATGAGATCCCCAGGTTCTCGTACTCCACAGCTGGGTTGCTCAAGAGAAAAAGCAGTGAGAGTCACTGAGAGTGAGTTGGGGTAAATTTTCTTAAATAAATAAAATGGCTTATAAGAGCAACTTGTAATCTTTCTTGTGAGCTTTCCCATTGTTTATAAGAAGCTGGCAAGGAAAGTCACAAAAGGCGATTACGTGACTTTGGGGTGCTGCAACTGTCACGTGAGCCAGTTGCTAAATGCCTGGATTGTAATCATGTGAGGAATGAGGATGCTGAGATGATCGGAAATTCAAGGGCAGGTCATAAATATCATTTGTTTGGCGCCTTTGTAACTTCAGTCACTGAACAAGTGGTCATTAACAGAGAATTAACTGTATAACAGTTTCCATTATCTTTATTTGCTGTTGTCATCATTCCTTTATGCATTTTTTCTGACCAGTCTGATTCTACTTCTCCATCTATTCAAGATCTATTTTTGAGACTACCAAATATCCTTCAGAATTTTTGAACACCATACTATCCTTTCCTACTTTTTTTAAAAAAAATCATAATTAAATCAATCATGATTTTTATTCATATTCCCTGCTATGTATTTGCATGAATAGTCTTATGTTTAAACCATATATTTCAAATAAAATTTTTTCAATTCAGATACCCATCAAACTATCACTATTCTTGTTTACTCTATGATCTTCAAATGAATCAATCACTTTTTCTACACTCTCTCTTCCTGCTATCCATCCATCCATCCATCCATCCATCCATCCATCCATCCATCCATCCATGTCATGTAAAAGAATAATTTCCTCTCTAGATTGCATGCATTCAGAATGCTGCTTAATTTCTCCAAAATCTTATCTAATTCTTCCATTATCACCAGTCACTGTGACATAATATACCACTATATAGTGGCACACCATAACCTAAATGACACCAATTAATACATAATCAAACCTATACCTTCTCTTTCCTGAATGTATTTATTGATTCCATTTTACTATATTACCTTCATTCATTTTGTTTCTTAATTCATTCTGTTTGCTATTCACTTTTTTTTTTATTTGATTTATATGCCGCCCTTCTCCGGAGACTCAGGGCGGCTTACAATGCGCTAAGCAATAGCCTTCATTCTTTTGTATATTTATACAAAGTCAGCTTATTGCCCCCACAACTGGGTCCTCAATTTACCTACCTTAGAAAGGATGGAAGGCTGAGTCAACCTTGAGCCTTGGCGAGATTCGAACCTGCAGTAATTGCAGGCAGCTGGTCTTAATAACCAGCTTAATAACAGGGTGCCTTAGACCACTGTACTACCAAGGCTCGTCTACCATAATCTTTCATATGCCATGAAATATCACCAGATGGGCCCACGTTGGCCATGTCTTTTTTTTTTAAGACAGAAAGGTATGGATTAAGTTAAATTACCTGTACCCTGTGCCATTACCAATATCCTCTGATAATGGTCAGTATGGGCATATTCTGGTTAGTCTTCCACAAGCAAAATTAAAGTCCAGATTTTACCCCAAGTATGCTCATGACATTCTTTGAAAGTTTATAGATCTCCAATCTATAGAACTGCTTTGTATGGCAAAATGCTTCTGACCAGACCTCACCAAGTAAAAAGTCTATGCAGTATATTGATACATACTCAAGACACAGCACAGGAGTTGTGTTAAATCAATGGGAGGGCAGCAAGACAACTGGAGTCAATGGGAGAAGGTTCTGTAAAGACTGATGTCTCAGGAATATCCAAGGACAATTAGGGGAATGGGTGGACTGATGGGATGACGAGTGCTGAGACAGGAAAGCTCTGGGATAACTGGCAAGACAGGCAGGCTGACACAACAATCCACATCAGGTTCAAGAAGACCCTGGGATAATCAAAGGAACGAGCAGGGTGATCAGTTGCAGCTATGGGAAAGCCCTTGGAAAAATTGGAAGATGTATGGACCTGCAAGAGACACTATGTATTTGCAGTTGCAAAAGCAAGATGGATGGCATAAGAAAACCATTCAGATATAGGTTTAATAAAAATATCATCTTCTAATGAGTCTGAAATATTTTAAATGTGTTGGCTTTTAGTCATAGTCCTTTGGGAATAAGTTTGGAAGGTTTGAAAAAGGTCTATGGATAATGTTGGCCTATGGATAATGCACCATAAGTCAGTTAGCAAAAGACCATCTGGTAAACTCTTTGCCACAACTCTTACTAACTTTTATTGTAAAATAAAAGCAAACATTGTATTTAATTAATTAATGCTTGTTTTATTATATACATATAAATACATATATGTATCTCTCTGTGTGTGCATATGTACATATAATGATATCCTGTAGTAGGTAATGAAAACAAAAGAAAAAAAACAAGGAATACCAGTTTTTATAATCATGCTTACCTAAAAATGTGTTGGATATATATTCAGAGACTTGATTGCCTGATCGGCTCATTTCAGATAAGTGGGTTAGCTCTCGATTGAGCATTCTTTTAAACTGTAAAGAAAAGCAAAACAGTGTATGTCAATGGCCAGTAAATGGGTATATGGTACAAGAATTGTTTAAGAACCTTTTTAAACAGATATGTTCAAAATTTCAACTCAATTTACCACCTTAGCTCAACGCATAATGAAAAGTAAAGTCAGATTCTCAGGGAAAATGTTAAAGTAGGCTTCACCAAATGTATTATTCCACGCATCATTTTACATAAAGAGATACTGAAAAATCGGTTATGGATATAAGTAGAGATCAATTTCATTGCTCTTATCCTAGTTAAAAATGTATACTTAAGGTTTATAATATACACAATTTTCTTAAATTCCTACTTTTTTAAGTGAAGTCAACAAGACATCTACTTCCAGTGAAAATAATTAAAATTACCTAGCAACATTAGACATTTCTACAGGCAGGAGTAAACCGTAACTCAATTACCGTACTTGTTGCTTAGTAACTTAAATATCTGTATATCTAAATTTACACACCTAAATTTTAAAATAATAATTAATGAGTCAACTGCTTTGGGAACTAGGCATTTGGATTTTATTGCGGATATAGCCATTTTATAAAGTGAAACATGTACAGGTTTAAAAAAAAATATGAGGATCATGTAAAAAATAGAGAAACTGGCTTTCTTAATTTGATGACCTGTAGACAGATTACACTTTAACAATCTTCAACCTGCTGATTGAAGAGCATGAGTTGATGATGAATACTCTTGCGGGCACTTGGAAAGGCTGGAATAAGCTATTCCAATTATCAAAAAGCATGGCCTCCAATAGTTTCATCAGTTTTCTAATTGCGTGATTTCATTAGTGGCAGACAATCAGACTTCAGACTTCCTCAGCCTCACTATCAGTTTTGCAAGTTGGGGTTCATAAGTTTTGAAGGACAGTACCGATTGTGACTTAAGTTTTATTAAACAGCTTGTGCTTTAACAACAAAAGTATCGCAAGGTTTTCTGCAATATTCTTTTACTGTAACATTGTTCTTGCTTTAAGAATTCAAGGCCTGCAAATACATTGCAGGAAGCAGAGGAGTCGAAGGGCTGCCCCCATTTGTTTCGTGCTACAAGAAATTGCCATTCAGCAGTCTCTGGTGACTTGAACGGCTGGCCTGATGAGTCACATGAAAGGATGATTCCCATCAGCCAGCAAAGACATAGAGCCTCCAGGGTATGCTATCTTCAGCTAGTGCTGAAATAAATCTGTCATAATTTTTCCATACAATTACCATACAGGGGCTGGGAATTAGGAATTTTCATCCATTACTTACAGAAGCGACCTAGTTAGAAAAGGCTAGAAGAATACAGGATTAACAGATTAACAGAGTTGGAAGGGACCTTATAGGTCATCTAGTCCAACGCCCCGCTCAAGCAGGAGACCCTACACCATTTCTGACAAATGGCAGTCCAATCTTTTCTTGAAAGTCTCAAGTGATGAAGCTCCCACAACTTATTAGAGTTTATTTATTTATTAACTTATTATTAGAGGATTAGAGTTTCTTGGGGTGGGGGGGAGGAATAACTCAGATTGTGATTCTTCCATATGCTAAGAAAAGATAAAATTTTACAATTTACTTAAGTCTTCCATATTCAAAAAAGCTAGCCACTGGGTTATTTGGAAATGTATTGTTTGACTTATTATTTGATTTTTGCAGCCATCAGGTTGTGAATGTCAGTAGTGTTTTTTCACCACATCTGTGTTTTCTTCTCCACATCTGCTCTCAGCGTATGGACAATGTACATTACATAAGTAAAATCTTGTTTGAAAATAACCCAGTGCAGGATAATCTGCAAGGTGTTGCTCTCCTCACTTATACATCAGATAGTTATCTGCGTCCTTATATATTATCACTTATACTCTATACATTAAGCAAATATGTTGAAAACCTAACTGGGGTGAGGATAGACTAGGATACATGTTTAAAGTTTATTTACACTTTTCCTTTAGCCCATTTATACATGTGCTTTTATGAGTTTTCTTCATACTGCTTCTCACATGTTCCATTCCTGTTTTGTATGGTAAATCTATGGATGAATAGGATTGCTTGCTCAATAGTATATGGGACAAGCATATACAAACAGGTTCTGTCCAGGTGATTTGGATTACAGTTTTCATCAGACCTAGGCTAATAGCCAAAAATCTGGACTACAGAGTCCAGAATATTTAAGGAGCATTAAAAGTTTGTAATTTTTATAAATATTATCTTTTATAAAGATAATATTTAGAGACGGGTATAATTTTTATTTTTGTGTGTGACTTTTGACACATAAACCTCCTGATGACAGACCAGCCTAATTCGTGTAGTTTTCTTAGCAAGATTTTGGAAGTTGGTGAAGATTGTTACTGTCTTCTTCCTAGAGCCGAGAGAGTGCAACTGGCCCAGGTTCACCAACTTGGCTTTGTATTTAAGGCAGAACTAGAACTCACTGCCTCTTGAAATCTAGCCTGGTGCCTAGATAGCCAGGCTACCTTTCTATTTGCTTTCTAAAAATAATTCATATATACAACAAGTCCTCAACTTGTGATCATAATTGACTTCAGAATTATGGCTGTCAGTTAAGTGGGTCTCCATGTGACTTCACTGATTTTATGATCTGTTTCATGGCAGTTGTTAAGTAAATGCGGTGGTCATTAAGCAAATCCATTCGCCGCAATGGCTGTTTTTGTGGAAACCCAAAGTAAATGACAAGAACCAGCAAAAATCACAGAAAATTGTTGTCATATGTCTGCAAGATATTGTAAACATCTGAAAATGTGAGACAGTTATCAAGCAGCCAAAATGTGATCATCTGACAGCAGGATGCAGCCGTCGTAACTTCAAAAGTGGGTTATAAGTAGCTTTGGTGAGTCCATCATAACTTCAAATGGTTGCTAAATAACCGGTTTTTAAGTGAGTACTACCTATATTTATTTCTAAAACAGGCCCTCTGGGTGAAATAAAGGATAGCATGTATGATAACCTTCCACAAAGTCTGTTTTGGCATGAGAAGAAACACAAGTAGTTATTTTAATCCTTGGTATATTGTTTCACGGCACCCATTTCCAAGCTGATGCTCTCTAGACATGTTGCATTAGGAGCTGACCAGAAATGGCCATGCTGCAACGCCTCTGGAGGATAACAATTTGAAAAATGCTGCTGTGGGACAAGGGTATTTAGGGAAATGAAGCTATCAAATATTTTAGACAAAGAATAAGGTATATCTATTCCATTCTAAAGCTAGGAAATATATCCAAATGCAGGAGACATCAAATAGCACTGGGCTCAGCACAAGATATTTTTTAGCCTTCCATTTGAAGATGGCTCAGTAATAAAGGCTACGCTCTCATTATTAATTTATTTCTTCTCTGAAACAACCATCATAGGGCAACAGGAAAGAACATTAGAACCCAATTAAAGAACCCAAAAGCTGACTTTACTCATTCTGAACATAGTCAAAGGAGAAAGAGCTCCCTAGACAGAGCTTTGGTGGAAGGCAAAGTTTTTTCTGATGTGCGTTGAGCAAATACATAGAGCTATCCTTAGTTTTGCCACAGTACCATAGATTAAAGATCTGCGAAGGGCTTTAAGTGAAATTTAAATTTTGACTAGATACAGTTATTTGAGTCTGTTCCGAAAGTTGGCCAGAAGCAAAACAAACAAGCAAAAAATTAAAGGAGAGAGGGAAGGCCAGGGATACTCACTCTCCTAATATTAACCATCATTATTGTCCAATTGGAAAAGAATGTGGCTAACATAAGGTAAAATCTTATCCCTTAATGCCATACTTGATATTCTCAGAAAACCATCGTTACCATTGGTCTCTGATACTGCTGCAAGACAAAATCCTTATGCTGGCCCCCCCACCTTATAAAATGAAATTCAATCTGTTGCTAGTTACACTAGAATCTCAACCTGATACTGGGAAATTGTTACTATGATAAAAAACTATAATGTATTAAAAGGTAGAATAGAAGCACCTCTATGATTTCATATCAGCCATTATTTTACCCAGTCTGGCTTGAGTCAAGATGATTAACTCAGCTAAAATAAAAGAGGAAACATATTTCTGTTTACAAGATTACTCTGCTGTTAATTATTCAACCTTTCCTGATTTATTTAAACTCCCAGTATCACTTAACTAAATCCCTAACGAGCATTGAACCAAAAGAAGAAGAGTGTGTTGTATGATTGGCTTCAGTTAATCCCAAATCACAATACAATGTAAATAAATAACTCAACATAATACGCGCAATGAGAAAAAGATGAATTCTATGTCATGTAGATCCAATACTTCCTACCTAATTCTTTCAATCCTGTAAAGAACTGAACAGCATAATATTAGCATATTAGCAATATAGCCCTAGTATTCATTATTAGGAGGTAATACAATGAGATTCTCCCCCCCCCCCCCAAATGAGCATGTAAACTCACGGAGTTTAGATTCCTACCTCATTTTAACTTCAATGAGTCTCAACACATATAAAAGCTATGGATTGCTTATATATTTTTCAGCATTACCAATTTTAAGATATATATTCTCTAAATCTAAATTCCCCTAATGTTTGTACTGGACAGTCATTTGGAGATATATGTGAAAATGAAAGAGAATAGGAATATTGTAGATGAATTCTTCCTCACAAAACTCATAACATTAATGGTAATACAGCAATAAAAGCATAAAATATAATTTTTTTAGTGAAATGTATTGTTGGCAACAACAAAAAGACCTTACTATATTTGAAAGTCTAAACTATCAAGCCTCAGTTATTAAGGCTTTAATTGTGCTCACTTGTATTTATTAAATAGTTGTGTTAAAAACTCAGCATTAATAAATGATCCAATAAATGATCATATAATTAAACTGCTGCTTTAACTAAGCATATTGGGCTGTTTTCTACTACATCACAATTAGTGAACTGATCATCTTTTCAGAAAGATTGCTTGGGATCAATTGCTCTTCCTTCCAACAAAGATTCCAGCAAAGATCCAGGGTTTCCCTATCCAACATCCTCCAA